AGTGCTGCAACTTCTCAATGGATTGAGATAGAGTCAAATGCTTTTCAGCGTTGGTTACACGTTACCTTATGATCAATCTGGGGTCATTTACAGCCTCTCACAAGTCTAAAATTTTCTTGGCGATGAGGGGGACTCCGCCCCCCTTCAAACCCCCCAAACAGAAGGGGGCACATCCCCCTTCTGGCAACCCCCTGATGTATCTTTTGGTTGGGGGGCCGCGCCGAAAAAGAGGTCACTTTTTTCAACAACATTTCTCAAACAAAAACAAGTGTTTGGGGCCTAAATAAGGCATTTTTTCATCATTTAAGACAACAAAAAGGGGGGGGGGGTGAAAAAGGCGTTAAAAGGCGTGTATATGAAGTAATGGGTTAACAGAAAATGATGAAAATACTTGAAATTACCCTAAATCGCGTTTTTTCATGTTTAAACATGGCCTGTCATATAAATTTGAAGAAAAATTGTTGTTTTGTAGATGTTTTTATTTTTTTCATTAACCCATTACTTCATGAGCATTTTGTAAAAATGGCTGTTTTCATTGAAAAGTCTCCCGTTACAAGTTCAAATTGCTATAATACTATAAAAACTGCTTCAACACTAATCAAACTTGGCACAAATGTTGACTGGACCATTGCCCTTGCAACAACATGCTCAGGCTTAAATTTTCTGTTACCATGGCAACGAGGGAACATCTCAAAATTGCCAAAAATCACTATTTTGCGTTGATTTTTTCCATCAAAATTGATTTCAAAGTGCTGCAACTTCTCAATGGATTGAGATAGAGTCAAATGCTTTTCAGCGTTGGTTACACGTTACCTTATGATCAATCTGGGGTCATTTACAGCCTCTCACAAGTCTAAAATTTTCTTGGCGATGAGGGGGACTCCGCCCCCCTTCAAACCCCCCAAACAGAAGGGGGCACATCCCCCTTCTGGCAACCCCCTGATGTATCTTTTGGTTGGGGGGCCGCGCCGAAAAAGAGGTCACTTTTTTCAACAACATTTCTCAAACAAAAACAAGTGTTTGGGGCCTAAATAAGGCATTTTTTTCATCATTTAAGACAACAAAAAGGGGGGGGGGGGTGAAAAAGGCGTTAAAAGGCGTGTATATGAAGTAATGGGTTAACAGAAAATGATGAAAATACTTGAAATTACCCTAAATCGCGTTTTTTCATGTTTAAACATGGCCTGTCATATAAATTTGAAGAAAAATTGTTGTTTTGTAGATGTTTTTATTTTTTTCATTAACCCATTACTTCATGAGCATTTTGTAAAAATGGCTGTTTTCATTGAAAAGTCTCCCGTTACAAGTTCAAATTGCTATAATACTATAAAAACTGCTTCAACACTAATCAAACTTGGCACAAATGTTGACTGGACCATTGCCCTTGCAACAACATGCTCAGGCTTAAATTTTCTGTTACCATGGCAACGAGGGAACATCTCAAAATTGCCAAAAATCACTATTTTGCGTTGATTTTTTCCATCAAAATTGATTTCAAAGTGCTGCAACTTCTCAATGGATTGAGATAGAGTCAAATGCTTTTCAGCGTTGGTTACACGTTACCTTATGATCAATCTGGGGTCATTTACAGCCTCTCACAAGTCTAAAATTTTCTTGGCGATGAGGGGGACTCCGCCCCCCTTCAAACCCCCCAAACAGAAGGGGGCACATCCCCCTTCTGGCAACCCCCTGATGTATCTTTTGGTTGGGGGGCCGCGCCGAAAAAGAGGTCACTTTTTTCAACAACATTTCTCAAACAAAAACAAGTGTTTGGGGCCTAAATAAGGCATTTTTTCATCATTTAAGACAACAAAAAGGGGGGGGGGGGTGAAAAAGGCGTTAAAAGGCGTGTATATGAAGTAATGGGTTAACAGAAAATGATGAAAATACTTGAAATTACCCTAAATCGCGTTTTTTCATGTTTAAACATGGCCTGTCATATAAATTTGAAGAAAAATTGTTGTTTTGTAGATGTTTTTATTTTTTTCATTAACCCATTACTTCATGAGCATTTTGTGAAAAATGGCTGTTTTCATTGAAAAGTCTCCCGTTACAAGTTCAAATTGCTATAATACTATAAAAACTGCTTCAACACTAATCAAACTTTGCACAAATGTTGACTGGACCATTGCCCTTGCAACAACATGCTCAGGCTTAAATTTTCTGTTACCATGGCAACGAGGGAACATCTCAAAATTGCCAAAAATCACTATTTTGCGTTGATTTTTTCCATCAAAATTGATTTCAAAGTGCTGCAACTTCTCAATGGATTGAGATAGAGTCAAATGCTTTTCAGCGTTGGTTACACGTTACCTTATGATCAATCTGGGGTCATTTACAGCCTCTCACAAGTCTAAAATTTTCTTGGCGATGAGGGGGACTCCGCCCCCCTTCAAACCCCCCAAACAGAAGGGGGCACATCCCCCTTCTGGCAACCCCCTGATGTATCTTTTGGTTGGGGGGCCGCGCCGAAAAAGAGGTCACTTTTTTCAACAACATTTCTCAAACAAAAACAAGTGTTTGGGGCCTAAATAAGGCATTTTTTCATCATTTAAGACAACAAAAAGGGGGGGGGGGGGGAAAAAGGCGTTAAAAGGCGTGTATATGAAGTAATGGGTTAAGCAAAATCTGCCATCCGGTTTAAGAGGAGTTGCATTCACAATATTTCGGGACGTATGGACTGACGGACAAGTGCAACGCTATATGCTCCCACATTGTGGGGGCATAAAAATTTCAAACAGTTATCTTCTACAGAAATTTGTGTATAGTTCAACACAAAAGCAGAAAAATGCAGAAATTCACATGCAGGAAAAACTTCAGAACACAGAATTGTCAACTGCAGGTGATAGAGGTCCATTAAAATAACACAATAATCATAACATATACATGACATATAGGTGTAAAGTACCAAGGTTTCGTACCCTTCGAAACTTACCATACGTTCATGTCTGTTTGGTCGCTGTGAGCATATAGGAACCAATATTAACATGGTATTCCCACACATTTAACTAAAGCATGTTTTTTGTTGTTGTTTTTTTTCCATTATGATACAATTATTGATTGTTAATAAAATATTTTTAAAAGATAATAAGCTATAAAAGATACATTTTGCCAAACACGTAAGAAATATATCTGAAATAGTTATGGAAATAACAAGTAGAACAATCTCTTTGTGACACCTATCATCTGTTAACCCATAGTCTGCTCAATTTGTGAAATTGATTTGCCCTGCTTTGAATTGAGAACAATTTCTTCAACGTTTGAGGCATTTTATTCATACAAAAAAAATAAAAAAACAGAACTATAAGCAGTATAAATCCTGGTCAGACTGCACAGACATGCATGCTGGCTTGGCTATATACTGGTAACAACGGCAAATCATTTTCGATTCCAGCAGATTATGGGTTAAGTCCAGAATCATGTAGATATACATCAGATCACATGCTAAATGCACTCAGGTATGAGATCATTTTGATCTTTACAAAAATCTTACATAAAAAATAAGACATAAAAAGCTTGCATAATGAGGTTGTGAACAGAATAGTTAGTTTTATCAGTATCAACCAGAGTGAAGATAATGATGGTTTTTGGTAGAAATTAGCATACATTTCTATGAATATTTTCACCTATCAGTTTTATAACATTTATACATGATTGTTAAAACTTACCATTTTGGTGTTGGATCCAAACAAGGTATTACATGGTACAGAACATATAGATGACATGGGAAGACCCAACTGAAAATATGGTCAAAATATACACTGCATTTTAATTATGTGCATACTTAGTTCTTCTTGAAATGATCTACATTTCTTTCTACTTCCAATATTTGTTTTTTGACATAAAATTTGCCAATCTCACAACAGCACAACTTCAATTTTTTGGAATTAAGTGTGCAGTCTTCTGGGCTTGGATTGGAATGTTTGAATCCTGGCTGTACCTTAACACTGCTTTTCTAGATGATTTAGTTAGAGAAATCACAACATGGTAACAGTGTTTTTAATGATCCAAGTATTATGTATAACAACATTTTATTTCCGGTGTTAAAGCAATTCAAGTAGGCAAATTGCTTTTACTTTAATGGGCACATTACATTAATTTTGCTAAAAAGTGCAGGCAATCTGTTAGGTCTCTGCATAGTTAAACATCATTTACATATATTTATGAATAACAAATTTCTTTTCTTTTTTTATTTGTGCAAAACAAACAAAAATATGCGTTTTGTCAATATATTGATAACATTATTTCTGTCTAACACTAACTAAACAAAATATTACAATACCTGTAAGCATAGGTAGTTACTGAGTCCAGGCTGGGCAGCTGAACTTATATATATCACAGGTGGTCTAGAATATAGGGCCTCAAACCCTTCAGTAATATACTTCGGATATTTCTGATACAAAGCTAAGCGGCAGATTCGTACAAGACCATCTCTAGATTCTTCATGGTAGAAAACCGACGCCTCGTCAAACCTAACAATAAATTTAACATCTTAATAGTGCTTCACTTTGAATTTCTAAACACTTATGACTTAAGGAATAATATTACCGGGGCTGAGCCTACGGCCTTCGTGGTCAATTCCAACGCATCAAAACTCCAAACCGGTGTTAAATAGCCGGTAAAAAACTCTGAGGCCGATGTTATTTCTTAAATAACACACACTTGCGGTTCTTCTATGTTCAATAGGTTAAAATGCGGGCCGAACTAAAATTTTGCTCAAAGTTTTTCTTTTGCTCTCAAATTTCTTAAAAATTTCCTGGCTTTTAACATAGTGATAAAAAAAAGATTATCTCACAAGTTTTATCTCAAGTTTTTAACATTGAAAGATCTTTCAATTATACATTCACTGACTTATACAATGTGGTAAATCATTTTTAATTGTAGAAAATAATTGTTGGATTTAGAATGTTATTGAAGTTATTTTTTATTAAATAAGGACCAGTGTTAATACTTCCAGCAGTGACTAAAGTCATTAGTGGAAATAATATATATCTGGTGTCCGCAAAATGGGAAAGCATTTGATAAATCCCTGTAATTAACAAATTTTCTTCTTATTTGATGTCATAGTGGTTTTTTTTTCTGGTTTTTTCTTTAATCATATTTTATAAGTTATTTTTATAAAATTGGTCAGGTATTATTAAAGTGTTATAAAAAATGCAATTTATATGATGTCTTCACAACATTATGGAAATCTGTATTTTAAAGTTTATTTCTTTGTTTTGTCAATTAATGTACAATACAAAAATTCTTTTTGTAAAATACTGTAAAAATTTTGAATTCTACTTTTTCAAACAGTGAAATATGACTTTGTATCTCACCAATTAAAAGCATAAGATGCAAAATCATATAAGACCTTGAAAACGGAAAACAGCTAAATAGAGGATATGATTATGTTACCTGAACATTTTGGCTAGCCAGAGTTGACAATCTGCTGTAATTTTCGATGTAAATCTCTTCAGATGGTCACCTTGTAAACATGAGACGTATGCGGCCAGACTGTGTGACGTCACTGCTGCATTACCATGATCATCCAGCTTACGTATCTGCATACGTCTAAAATTATTAAATAATCACATATAACCATGATCATTTAGCTTACGTATCTGCATACGTCTGAAATTATTAAATAATCATATATAACAATGATCATCTAACTTATGTATCTACATTAAACAAATAATTACCTTTTATTTAGTTCACAAATCTTTCAAAGAATTTTAAACTTTTTTTTTCAGGGTTGTCATTGAAATTTTTCATTTTGAACTAGATGGTGTATTCATCTCACAAAAACACCGTGAAACAGATTGATTTTTCTTGTCAAACAGCAAAAGTTTTCATTTTTTTCCATTATATTTTATATGTTGTGAGGGGGAATTTTTACCTCAGTTAGGGAGAAAAAACATATAATTTTGGTGGGGGACTGCGGCAATATTCTATTGCAGATTTGGTAGATGGAAGGCCCTTTATATGCACCATGAGAAAAGTATTTATAAAACACAATAAAATCAGCTTAAAGTCTTTACTTTCTGTCTTTTTGTGGTTTTTTGGGTTCTTCTGGTTTTTCATCTTCCTCAACTGGTTCCTCGCCCATAGCTCTTTTACGCCGGTTCTCAATCCACTGCTCCATAAAACTAAACGGTTTTTCTTCTTCTTTCTGAAAAACAAACAACCCCAAAACAATGCGACACTGCTTTAAATATCAACCATAAACCATTGCAGTTTATCTTATACTTAAAATGACGCTGAATTTAAATGCTTCGAATGAAAGTAGTGACAATAAATGTCATACCTATGTCATATGCAGTCTGCCAGTTTATTCTAACCCGACGCTATATTGTTGTTTACATAACTAAAGCATTTTGATATTAAACTCCTTTGCATTAACTCTGGAAACTCCTTTGCATTAACTCTGGACAATTTTTAAATTTGCTGGATTTTAGGTCTCACTGGTCATACGCTGATTTCCCAGCTGGTGGATAAAGAGCTTTGGCATTTCTTTTGTCTGGTTGATTCAAATTATTAAACAATAAATTGTTGTACTAAATACTCACATTTTCCTCATCCTCTTCATTTTCATCAATCTCATAAACAATCATTTCTTCAACCTTCTTCATAACATCTGTTAATTCTTGACCACTGAAATATATTTCATAACATTAGTCAACATTTTCAATATTTTTAAGGCTATTCAGATTATGTCAAAGGCTCCTAATAATTTGTAATATTTAGGGTAAGCAAGATTTCTTCCCAATGACACTACAGTGAAAAAGCTCCTATGAATTATCTAATAAAAGTGAATGATATAACTTTTTGATGACATGGCCAGAACTTTGCTGATTTCTGAAAAATTTGTTCACCAATAAAGCAGCATGCATCCTGATTCATGGTTAGTTTTTTTGAAAATTTCTTAAATGTATTAAAAAGTAAAATAGTGTCATGAAAACAAAGAAAGTAATTTACTCATTGTAAATGTAGGGTGTCATCGATAAGGATTTTTGTATCGATATATCGGTAATGAATTATCGGCGATACAGCGATATATCGATTGCCAGGCTAAATTTTAGCTTTCAAGTCTTTTTAAATGTTTCCTAAGGACACTGACAAAGCAGTTATATTTAGACAAATGCAAAAAAGATAAACTATGAAAACTGAACAATTTGTTTCTTTTTTTATCATATAGCTATAAATGAAAACTAATGACTAGTAACTATAAAGTTTAAAGCCTTTTCCATTTTACTTTAGTTGTTGTTATTATGTCATTACCGATCATGCTAAATCCCGTCCTTGCCGTTCCAATTAAGCCGGGTTTAATTGGCAAATTATAGTGTTTACAGGCCTCGACATTAGCGGTGGTCCGTTGGTCAAAGACCACCTAATTTTGGCAAGGACCACCTAATTTTAAAATGCACTGGTCCGTCGGACCACTTGAACTTTCTGGTTTGTGCAAGGCTCATTTGGGAGAATGGCGATTTGGTCAAAAACATGTTATATACATTTTGTTTAAAACTATTTGTCCTATGAACATGTATATGGTTCATTAATAGATTAATCTGATTAGTTAAAGAAGGTCTTAAAGCATCAATTACTTTCATTTTAAGTCGCTAAAATTTTGTTTATGCAAGTTAAAAGAGTTAAGAATTTGTAATATTAAGCTAGGTACAAATTGCATTCAAATGATGCTAGTAATGATGCATCGTCGGATAATAATAATTGACCACTTGACTTCTGAAAGGACAACCTTAATTTCAAATCTAGTGGTCCTGCTTACCACCTGATAAAAAAGTTAGTGTCAAGGCCTGGTGTTTAGAACCTGATTTATTATTAAAGTTTTTGATTTATTATTAAAGTTTAACATTTTGTAATCATAATTTTTACAAAGAAACACTGACAAATTTTTCTTGGCATTTTCCCTTTTTAAAATCTGAATTGAGGGGTCTTGCCATCCACTTAGCACACGTGCGAGATAACAACGAAATTAGGCAGCATTCGTTAGAGACACTGGAAGGCTTTGGCATTGATTTCCGTTTTCATTTTAGAAAAAAACTGTTTCTGGCTTCCATAACTTTGAATGTCGCTTTTATTTTGACATTTCTGACAGTAAACAGGTCTATCAGTTCTATAAAATCTGTTCGCTGAAGTCTCTTTAGCTAGAAATATATGTGCATTCGATATCCGATATTTAAGAAATGGAATCGATATGGAATCGGATAACAAAGATCGTTGATACACCGATATCGATTGAATCGATGACACCCCTATGTAAACGCCACTGAAAGATAATACTACAAGGGTGGGTCAATATGTAATGCAATATGGAGAAGTATATTCTCTAATTCAGCTCAGATTCTTGTGTTTATGCAGGGTTACAGATTAAGTTACTTCAAGTGGGTATTATGTTTGAAATTCTGTCAAACTTCGGCTAAACAAAACAATATCAAAGTTCAACCTGAATGATTCCTTCACATCTAAGTTTTAACTACATGTACTTACCTCCCCTTCAATGGACCAGGTAGATGAGCCTGTTCCTTGGCTTTCCTCTCAATCTCCTGCTCTCTCTTCATATCGCTGAAGTACAATACAAAATCATTATAAGCAAGAACTATTTTACATACACTTAGGACCTGATAAAACAAGTAATTTGATCAAAACTTCCATACTTTCATATTGACTGTACAATTTAAACATAACACTTCATGAATTATTACAACCTGGGATGAGTAAGGTTCTATGGTTGCATCCAATTGTTGATATTTTTTGGGGAAAAAAAAACAACCTCAAAAACAGTCTCAGTTTAACATAGTCTCATCCTAGGTAAAACTACACGATTGCTATTTTCAGTTACAAACATTAAGGCAATTATAATCACTGTCAACTTTTTTTACATACATTCAAGATTAGATTCAGGAACATGATTATGAGTTATTATTCTAATTAAAGCTCTAATTATGCAATAAATGGTACTGAAGTTTATAAATACTTTGCCATCATGGTAAAAAGAGTCAAACAGGGTTGACAAGACACTCCTTTTTTAATTTACAACCTTTCATTTTCTATATAATCACACATAACAAAGAGTGTATTGCAATGCAGGGAAAATGTGCCAGTTTTATATTATTCAAACATACATGCACATGTATCAGCATCAACTGCAAATAACGTGTTTATACACGAAAATTCTTACAAAAGAAATGTAATGATTTTCTTATAAATTTAGCATTACATGTATATGTTATTTATCCACAACACACAGATATACACTATATCTACCAATGTGTAACAGCTGATAGCTTTGATCTCTTTATATCCTTTACATTTTTCACTTAACACCTAGATTTAAATCAATTTAAAGATCCTGTATGTTGTAATTAAGGTTGTAACCACACTTAAGTGAAATTTTATAATATTATGTATATAATAATGCTTCTAACATCAAAGAATATGTAAAATATGTACTGCAAATATTTGTCCACATTATATGTAATCATAAAAATAAATGCATTCATTTTTTATTGGAAAATTTGACTTGGACTTTATAGTTTGTTTGTTTCATTTTACGCCTTTTCCCAACAGTATTTCAGTCATATAGGCGGTTAGTTTCCTAACCATCGTTCCTGGATAGACTTTATAGAAAACACATTTCTAATAACCTCCCTTTGTTAACGTGAAATATAAATTTGGTAATATCTTTAAAAATAATGCTTTTTGGAACTTACAATATTGATAAATCTTCATATGAGCATTATACTTATGATATAAAACCATACAAAAATTGAGTTACAGGATCTTTAAACAATGTACATTAAACTTTAATATTGCTATATGTACATTTTAACCTTCATTGAAATCAATGTTTTAATGATTTCCTACAATACTGTCTGTTATATTACAGTCTTGATCATTAACTTGACAAGATGGCTTATTTTAAAATCTGGAAAAAGGGTGATTCCCTGGAAGCATTAATCACAACAAAATAACATGAAAATTGCAGACTTGGTTTGATTGAATCTGTACACGACTCATTGGTTTTAAATTACATCAACACTGAATAGGTCATTAAAGACCCCTTGTAAGTCCCAAGCACCAGACGGGTAGAGATAACTGAGTGGTTGAGTACATACAAAAATGTAGCTCATATTATCAACTTTATTCTATTGGAACCGACTTGGAGCATTATTTCAGGTATAAACACTACCCAAATATGATCAGCAACCTTCTGAGATGCAGCATGGTAGCTTCTTTACACTGAATAATTAAACAGAGGGTTCAAAGTCAAGCAGTGAGTGGCAGGAGACATAGTCAGGGACCTTTGTTTTTGTTTGTTTTTCTAATAAATTTCAAAGCTCTTTTTAGGAACAATGAAGATAGAGAGATACAAATGTAACTGCTCCATGCATGTCTTTAACCAGTCCTTACAAAAATGTGCAATGAGGAAGTACATTTGTAATTTTTATTTCAAGTAACTCCTTGATCAAACACATACTAAAACTAGACTATGTGTATAACCATTGTATGCCATCTCACATTATAATTATTATAGAGAAAGACTCATATGAGCCGCTTCACGACAAAACCAACATAATGCGTTTGCGACCAGAATGGATCCAGACCAGCCTGCGCATCCGCGCAGTCTGATCAGGATCCATGCTGTTCGCTTTCCAACCCTATTACAAGTAGAGAAACTGATAGCTAACAGCATGGATCCTGATCAGACTGCATGGATGCGCAGGCTGGTCTGGATCCATGCTGGTCGCAAACGCACTGTGTTGGTTTTGTCGTGACGCGGCTCATATGCCTCTCCATGCATTATTTCAGGAATGAGTCGGCACCTACACAGAATCTATTATCACCTGCATTGAGCTTGCTGGATAGCTTCCTAAAGAATCCACCTAAAGAATCCAAAGACACTGAAAGGGTTCCATCAGTAGTTATTGATAAGTTGTCAGCCACCTTACCTTAGTCTTTTTAATTATCCCAATAATTATGATTTTATAATTTTATTCTACTTACACAATATTCTTCATATAGCAAACAGATCCAAACTAAATATCCTATTATATTTAACAGTATAGATACATTCCAGATGGAAACCCAACTCTCTCTCTTATATATATATATATAGCAATTATCTTACTCATTAATTTTGTCCAAAATTCTTTCATGTTCTTTAACTCTTGATTCGAGTTCAGCAAACATAGGGTCCATAAACATCTGTAAAGAGAAAAACATTCTGATATAGAAACAATCTTATACTGTAGATTTTCTATTATTTTTTGCAACGTCACATTTTTCTCATAATAAATCTATACAGATTAATGAGGAAATGTGTCTACAGCCTCCGCATTAATGTCATATTATTCAACTTTCAGTCCACTTGAAACATATGTTAAAAGAAAACTGTCAATGCTTTTAGTACGGAGGCACTTTTCCTATATGTTAGATAATGCTCTTCTTAGACTTAGGATATAATAATTATGAGAAATATAATTATCTTGATAATTATTTAAAACAGACAATCAAATCAACGGCTTGGTGTTAAAGGGTCGTAACTCCTTCTTTATTTGATATGAGTTACAACCCTTTCACCCCAAGCCCTCGAAATGCTGTTTCAAAAACATGATATAGATCAATGAACATAAATATTTTCATGTCCACATTCTGTTACAGTTAACTCTTCTGAAGAAAAAAAGTCAAGTTCAAACCTGGTCATATATCACCATCATTACCTAACAATATAAAAGTAGAACACATAAACAGGCAATATAGCAACAAAAGACATGTACTGCATGTTTGAATAGTTTGTTAACTAAATATTGATCCCTATATATAGAGATAGCTGAAAACATTACAAGCTGTTACAATCACACATCAATACAGTGACCAAACTTTCTTAACAATATACAAAATGCATTAGAATGCAAACTATACATTCACTGCAACACTTTTACTTCTGATTTTATGTAATAACACGGGCGGATTGGCCCTGTTTTGCATTTGGAATAATACATAGTGGCAGTGACTGAAACTTAACTTATCTATTCTTTTTATTGCAATCACCATGATCATCATGATCATTATTATCATTATTTCATAACTTGTATAGTCAAAATATACATTGTATTGATGTCCGAAAGCGAGATTCTGGGATATGTTTGTTCTTGCTCAGAATCTTAGAGGGGAGATATTGCCCACACACAAAATAGCACAATATCTCATCACATAGTACAGTTAGTTGGGCTTATAGATTAAGAAGTAGTACTCAAATAAATTTCATATTACTCTCTATGTATATATCGGTAAAAGAGACCAAGAGATACAACGTTAGGTAGTCGAACAAATTTGACGGAACACATAATCATCACTTTTTGCGTAATCTTTATTGTTGTAGGCTAGCAAACAACATCATTTCCTGTATTGATTTGTACATAACACAGTGTAAGAAAAGAAGAGGATAAAAATTGTGATTTATAAAATAAACAGCAAACTCCGACCTTCATAAAGAGGGGTTTAACAGAGGTTGAAAAACTATGTGACATAGATAGTTATTTTTTAATTGTTTCCAGACTGAGAGATTTCTGAAAAGATTATATTTTTTATCCATACATTTATTACATTATTAAAAATAAATTACCGTAAAATTCCTAATAAACGCCCCTCCCCTAATAAAGGCCCCCCAGGCCTTTTGATAAGGAAAACAATCTACTCATCAGTGCTGAATTCATAATTTAAGCCATAATTTTATTCAAATCATTCAGAATCCATAGTATTTTATAGTAAACACAAATATGTATAATATGAACTTTAAAACCTTAACACTTTTTAATGTCATTACCAACACTTGCTAACACTAAATGTATTTACAGTGATTTTTGGATTTAGGAAAAACTGTGTTGTAATAATAGCCCCCCTTTTGAAAAATGTTTAGCCCCCGGGGGCGTTTAATAGGAATTTTACGGTACTCATTTCTACAATCACTAAAATAAAATGTTGTAATTTTCATTTACAATTATAGAAAGTTTAAGTGTACACAGTTTATGCCGCCTCATTAAGTTCTAGATTGTTGTATTTAAAATCTTGTATTTAAAATCTTACTGAGACTTTTATTCATTGCAAAATGCCTTACTTTTGGTGGTTTCACACTCCCTAGAAATTTCTTAACACTTCATTTTGGTTTTTTTTGTAAACAAAAGATAGCAGTAAAATATAAATAACTGTCTGGGCTTATTTCAATTTTGTATTTGTACATATACTTTATTTTGTCCTTCTTGGGCCCCTGTTTACAACAGTATTTTAACATTTTGCTCACTTATAATTTACATAATAGAGCTGCAATAAGTTTTTATTCTTCTTTTATCAAATAATCTTTTTCAGATATTTATATCAATTTGAATTTAATCAAGGCATACATGTATATATAAACCACTCAACCACATATAAGATTGTTACGAACTTGTAAATCAATTATGTAATCCTAGTTCGTATTATTGATAAAAATGGTTGTAGGTTCTGAGACTTCTTACAAAACTGCTGCGTAGAGGACTTAAAGTCAAGAGGTTGATTTTATCCTATATTAATAGCAAACCCATTAATGTTTACATTAAGAACATACTTTGGAGCACAAGAGAGAAAAACAACACACACTCGATTTTTTTAACACATTTTTTAAGTATTTATAAAAATCAATAAATCATTCAATATCCCTTAGTTATTTGCATAGTTGAACCAGTGTTTTTTTTCACCAAAATATTCGGCGAAATTCTCCCTATTTCCCCCTCAAAATAGTATGTTTTTTTCCCCCCTCAAAGCTGAAATGTTTTATTTTATGCCTGTAAGACTTACTGTTAAGCAAGGTTTTTCATATAGGTAATGGGAGCTACTCCTGGTATCCCAACAAGTTTATCATGTCACACATCAATATTTTAGATCCGTATAAAAATCCCCCTCCTGTTGCATTTTTCCCCCTCCAATGGGCACTGACCCCCTTCCCCCAAAAGTGAAAAAAAACACTGAGTTCATACAGGGACTGTTTACAGGTGTGTTACCTGCAATCGCCGGTGGAAAATCACAGAGATTTGCCGTGATCAAAACGCATGTTCATGTACAATGTAGTCGTGTGTAAAGCTTATATTTTGTTTAAATAACAGCCGTTACATCATCTTTATATGTATAAAAATCAGTAGTTTTAAAGTTTCATTTGCATAAAAAAAAGTAAAAAAAAAACAACAAGAAATGTCAACGACACATATGCCCCCCTTTCTAGCCCTTAACATTATTGCTTATTTTGTTATAGAAACTTGCCATAAATGGGTACATGAAAGTGTTCAGTTATGGAAAAAAGAAAAATATTGAAGACTTTGTGTTAGTTTTCAAGGTAATGAGCGGAAACCATTCTGACATTTAAGGCCCCTGTGACCTTAACCTTTGAACTAGTGACCAAAAATCAAAAGGGGTCACTTACTAGTTATGACCAATCAGAATGTGAATTATGAAGACTTTGTGATAAATAGTTTTAAAGATAATAAGCGGAAACCATTCTGACATTTAAGGCCCCTGTGACCTTGACCTTTGAACAAGTGACCCCGAAAGCAATAGGAGTTATGTACTAATTATGACCAATCACTATGTGAAATATGAAGACATGGTGATAATCAGCTTTCAAGATAATGAGCTGAAATCATACTACCATTCAAGGGCCCTATGACCTTGACCTTAAACTGGTGACCCAAAAATCAATAGGGGTTATCTACTAGTTATGACCAATCAATATGATTGTGAAGTATGAAGACTTTGTGATAAATAGTTTTCAAGATAATGAGTGGAAAGCATTCTAACATTTATGGCCCCTGTGACCTTGACCGTTGACCCCAAAATCAATAGGGGTTATCTTCTAGTTATAACCACTCAATATGTGAAATATGAAGACTTTGTGATAAATAGTAACCAAGATAATCAGCAGAAATCATACTACCATTCAAGGCCCCTGTGACCATGACCTTTGACCTAGTGACTCAAAAATCAATAGGGGTTATCTGCTAGTTATGACCAATCAATATGTGAAATGAAAACTTTGTGATAAACAGTAAACCAAGATTATGAGCAGAAACCATTCTGACATTTAAGGCCCCTGTGACCTTGACCTTTGACCTGGTGGCCCCAAAATCAATAAAGGTCATCTACTAGATATGACCAATCAATATGTGAAATATGAAGACTTTGTGATGATAAGTAACCAAGATAATGAGCGGAACCATTCTGACATTGAAGGCCCCTACTAGTTATGACCAATCACAATGTGAAATATGAAGATTTTGTGATACAAGATTTCAAGATAATCAGATGAAACCATTCTGACATTTAAGGCCCCTGTGACCTAGACCTCTGACCTATTGACCATAATAACAACATGGGTCATCTACTAGTTATGACCAATCAGTATGTGAAATATGAAGACTTTGTGATAAATAGTTTTCAAGATAATCAGCGGAAACCATGTGGTCGACCGACCGACAAACCGACATTAGCAAAACAATATACCCCCTCTTTTTCGAAGGGGGAGGGGCATAAAAATCACAATCAAAATGCATTTACGATCATAATATATTGTCAATACATGACACAATAATTATCCAACAAAAATATTTTTCTTCTTTAGCAATAATTAAACATGTGTTATGGTTTTGTTGACAAAATATGATGAAAGTTTTTTTCTGATCTATAAAAAAGGGTGGAAGTCAATTGAGTGTCGGCACTTCTTTGATGATTTGACAGTGACTACACATGTGTAAACATCAAAGATTGACAGATTCTTCTGGAGAGCCAACTAGTCATTTGTCAGAGGTCATCTCGTGTTGGAAACATTATATTTCATTTATTTATGGATGCTACTTTGTGCATGAGTGTTTTTGTGTGTTTAAGCACTATGGAATTTAGACAATCGGCCATGAATTTCGGTAAGAAAAACAAACAATTGAATATTTCAACATTTATAAATATTTTTCAAATATCAGCCCTTCAGAAATTTTACAAGACATATATGTTGCACATGTTATTTTTTTCAGATGTAACTTAATAAAGTCTGCTTGTAATAAATTGATTAATGGTCACCAGAGAGAGCGAAATTTCAAAAGCATGAACAGTAAGTAAAATCTTTGAAAATAAACTATTTCAATTAGAAATCCTTAATTTTTCTACTTTCACAATCGGAAGTCTGTGTTGCTCGGAAGCTGTCTCAAATTTTCTGGGATTTTGATTGGATGGCCTCGTTTCAGAAGTTACATTGCATCGTCAAATATTCTTTACTGCCCTCAATTATTTTGGGACACTGGTTAAAGTTAGGCATAAAGCCCGGGGATGAATTCTTAGGCGAAGATACGTTTTGAGTTCCTTTTTTGTTGCTGTGTAGTTGAAAATACATTAAAAACAAGAATAGAAATAATCACAATTGTATTGACATTAACAAAGAACATGAAAATCTTGACATTCAACATAGATTTACTTCAATAAACACATGTTTTATTCGAAATATTACCTTTATCATTTTTTAAGTATGGAGGACTAGTTTCCAAGGAATTAACAAGAGCGATCAGTAATCACATGTGTCGCCTCATGATGGCCAATTTCATGCTGGGACAAAGTTTGTGACAGACGGACAGTGCACAACTAGACTTGGTACTGATCATTCCTGTAAAGTTTGGATAAAATTGCACCAGTAGTTTATGAGGAGTAGTCCGGACAAGCTTTTGCGTATCTGGCAACACACAGAAAAAACACCTTTTTATCAAAGGGCCATAACTCGGCCAAATATCTTTCAACCGGAAAACCCGTGCAATATGCGCAAGGACTTTAGCTACAGATAAATCCTGTAAAGTTTCATTGAAATTGCTTTAGTGGTATAAGAGAAGTAGTCCGGACAAACTTTAAAAAATAAAAATTATTAAAGGGCCTTAACTCTGACAAAAATCATTGAAGCGGAAAATGCTGATAATATGCACAACTACCCTTGGTACTGATCATTCCTGTAAAGTTTAGATGAAATTGCACCAGTAGTTTATGAGGAGTAGTCCGGACAAGCTTTTGTGTATCTGGCAACACACAGAAAAATACACCTTTTTTATCAAAGGGCCATAACTCGGCCAAAAATCATTCAATCGGAAAACCCTTGCAATATGCGCAAGGACTTGAGGTACAGATCAATCCTGTAAAGTTTCATTGAAATTGCTTTAGTGGTATAAGAGAAGTAGTCCGGACAAACTTTAAAATTAAAAATTATTAAAGGGCCATAACTCTGCCAAAAATCATTGAACTGGAAAATGCTGACAATATGCACAACTAGACTTGGTACTGATCATTCCTGTAAAGTTTGGATGAAATTGCACCAGTAGTTTATGAGGAGTAGAGGCGACACAAAAAATGTAAATAAGCATACAACTGACTTTAAACTGCCTACCAATCAGGTAGTAAAATTCTTAATAGACAACAAAAACGTCTATTTGACGCTCATAATTGAATTTTAATTTAAAATAGGTTAACATGTTGCGACAAACTTTAATTGCGCATTATTCAAAACAAAGCGTTCACTGCATAGAACTTGCAAGGTCGACAACTATAACAGATCGAGGATGTGTAAATTCAACACATAAAATTGTCTTTTATTTGTTGTTTTTTTGAAAATATTGCAAATTTACTATATTATAAGAACCTTAATGTCACAGGGTGAGAAAAAGGTGCAGCCTGACAGGGACTTGAACCTGGGACCCTCGGAACACCATTCCGCGGCTCTACCGACTGAGCTATCCGGCCGCTTACACATCTTCTCCCCAAAATAGTGAACTATTCTTAACCCTGACATTAATATAAATATTTGTCTCCATTTTATGTGTTTTATATGTTTAAAACACATTCTACCCGTAGTAATTAGTAGAAACAAGTGTCAGCAAAATTTACACTGCTTTTTGGATAGTCGATTCAATCGCATGAGATGTCATTCGCAACTGGGAAAGACACCTCGAAAATAAAAACCCCTGAAAATATGGGATCAAGGCATGCCTCAGTCTCAGATAAAAATAAAAACCCTGGTTTTATCAGGATATGCTTCACTTCACTACATTGCATACCCAATGAATGAATACGAGCATGTCAGATTCCTAGTACAAATATTGGTGAACTTTCCCTTATAGCGAGCTCGACGAGCTGGCCCAAAGCGAGCTTTACGGTAACGCGAGTACCTGCTAAGTGATGGTTTTGAAAACTTTCGTCCGAAGTATTGATATGACACATCGCAACTTTTCGAATTTAAAGATAACGATAAAAACTGAGGAATTCTGACTGAAAACAGATGTGTAGATTGGTCACCCGCAAACTTCTATGGGAACCATAATTGGACAGGGAACGAGAAAAAACGGAAGCTGTGTATAAAATATCGAATGACAGTTTTAAAACGGAAAATGTAAAATTAAAATTGAACGATTATTTTAACCGACTTTTCCCGTACATAGGTTTTGCCGGATTTCATTAAATGTACATTTACCTCCTCTTTTTTCAACAAACAAAATATTCTAACACTCTATATAAACAAAGAATGCCTGACAACAATGCACTTGCTGTTCTTATTATCTCCCTGTGTATTTTCACATTGAGGGCGCCATTTTGTTTGAAAAATCTAATAAATTAAAACAATTTTTTGTCGAATTTTGATGTGAAAACTATCTAGAATGAAAGAAAATGGTCTAACTAAGAAAATGAATCCGAACACCAATATTTCTTATTCAGTCGTTAACGCTGTACAGACGTTTAAAGTATTGTTTACGTGACGTCACAATGTAGCGCCAACCAGCACGTGCAAAACAATCAAATCAAGTACGCTATTTTAATGTCGCAAACGTGTTAAGTTTTACATTTATTTCACTTTTAATAATCTTTATTTCGCTTCAAAAATTATAGAGTGAAATAAAATAAACAAACAAAGTTTTATCAACGTTTTCAAAATTTGTTATTCTACACACGTAAGATTTAACGACAGTTTTTTTCATACCACTGGAAGTTCAGCCTTTATTTTTCATACCACTGGAACAGCCTTATTGGAAACTCTGAGGCGAAACCAAACATAATGGGCCTATGGGCCTTCATGATCAATTACTACGTATTTGAACTAAACCGTGCATTATTCTACAACAATGCACTCAAAATTGATATCAATTTCCAAAAAAAACAACAAAAAAAACAGAAAAAAATAAAGGGGCAGAGCCATATTTAACGCAGTACGTGTGACGTCACACGCCTTCGTCACTGCATTTGTTTACAAACATTAAAACAACAGTTGAGCCGATTCCTTCTTTCTTCCCGTAAATCAAGGTAATTCACGTAGCACAAACGATAAACTACATTAATTTTATTCATTTAAGAGGAGGGAACTAGAATAAACGGAAGCAGTGTATAAAATACCGAATGACAATTTTAAAATGGAAAATTTAAATAAAAATGAGCGATTATTTCATACTATTTCACGTTAAAAGTACATCGAGCTCGCTTTGAGGCTTTGCCTTTTTCATATTAGGGTTGCCAGTGTTTATGACATGTCACATTAATATATAAACAGGTACTGGCCGGAGACCATCAACCGGACACTTTTGGAACATTTTTCCGTACAGATTTCATAATTTTTAAACTAGAGACCAAAAAATTTGACACAGTTCAGCTAGGTTCTTCTCCTAACTAACAAACTAGTTTGTTTATTTCTGATTGTATTGACACTTATATCTGAGGCTCGACAAGGAGAGTATCAAAATTACCTAAATTGTCTACACTACAGTACCATGTGTCCGGACAGATATGTACATGATGTAATTTAATTCAGATAAAAGCTTGGGTGTTTTGATTTTTGATTTTTAACATAATATACAATATGTCAGCAACAAATGCTGAAGTTTTGGATATTCTATTATTCACTCTGCAAATGATTATAGCTGGTATACGAGGTCAGGCATTGCTTTCTTGACCCCCAAATTTCAACATCAACATTCTTGAAATAGATATTAAAATATTACCATTTACGGAGATTGAAATAATTTATTTATTTAATTTTAAAAGAAACATGCACTTATTGTTGATAAAAATGTGACCGACAACCACTGAACAAAGAAAATACAAAATTTTCTGGGCCGTCCGGGTTTGGTGGTTGTCCGGTTTTGGTGGCCCCCAACCAGTACCCTGAAGACCTTGTAAGCTAAAACAATGCCTATTTTTGGTCAGAACTTGGATTATCATTTTAAAATGTAATTTCATGTTTTCTCAACGGTTTTTTGAGTAGTTATTTGCATTTGAACTGAATACTCATTGCAACTGTAGATCTCCAATTCATACCTTAATTATTGTCATAATTAATGATTATCAGTTGTGTTTCCAAAGAAACTGTCAAAACAAAATTCACCTGAAACTGGGCATCAGCTCCTGTCTGTGCTGGGGGATTATATGGCGGTGGTGCTTCAGCCTCCATTCCTTCTTTAGTTGGCAATTCAACTTCGGCACTGTTTATTCCAGCTTCTTCTGCCTTTTCTGCCATGTTTGTTTCTAAATTTGTAATTGACGCAGCAAAAAATTTATCCACGCTGGCAGTCCCCGGAAATGGTTTGTTTGTCGTAAAAAGAACTGCCAACGAAATCCAAAACGATAAAAAGCTTTTACGTTACGAAAAAAAGTCAAGTATAAATAAAGATGTATGTTTTCACAGAAAAATGTTATTCAATGTGTAGAACAACTAAGTAGATCTATTCGAGAATCGTCTAAACATGTTTACGACAATATGCAGTTGATGCCGAAACGTGGCAACCAGGATCTAACTACGATGTGAACAGGTTAGATCATGATTTAGAAAGGAATATCACGCTGTGCGATTTAAAACATTAGGGGCTTGAACTATATATAGTACTTTGCATTCTGAAAGCTTACTGAAGAACTTCATTCTTAAAGTCCTGCAAATTTACTCAGTTTAACTTGAGACCGGTGTTTGTGTTAAATTACCCTCGATCAATTTGTCCGACATTTTCTTATTTTTATGAAAATAAATTGAACATAATTTAAAATGCGGTTTCTTGGGCTAATACGATCCATTCTATATTTTAGAATATGAAAGAAATAGGGTTGTCATTGAATATCGCGTTATCAATATATATCATCAATATTCATCATCCGATACAATATCGATACCTCACTTTCACTAGCTTAAGGTCTTCAGCGTACCCGTTTATATACTATGACATGACGTGAACTTTGAAGACAACCCCATAAGGAAAGTCCACCAATAATCGTGCCAGGAATCTGACACGCTCGTATTCATTCATCGAACATGCCTTGAAGTAAAGTGAAGCATACCTTGGCGGCCAAGTGCCAAAATTTTTACCTGTTGGAAACTATTATGTAGTTTACATTCATCAGTGATTAATCTAGATGTGCATCTTGCGTAAAATACGCATAAAAATCGAAAAAGACGCACAGTTTCAAAATATGTGCGTTCAATCTGACGCATGCAAATCAGGAAGTTTATAATCCAAAATATCACGATTAGTGATTTCTATGTACAGATTGATTACTTTAATTTCATTAGTTGAATAATTTTTCAATTTCTTCAGTTGAATAATTTAATTTCCGATGATAACAAGTGCAAGACTCATCCCCCATTTGCTTGAAACGTTAAATACCAAGCAATTGTTGCTTGTGATCGGTAACCGCCCATTATCGGCATTAGCCAATCAGAGCGTCCATTTTGCATAAGAGCGATTCGCCTACAATGGTGAAATATGCAGACATTGGCGCTAAAAATGAGAAGGGCACAGGAAAATCGTCAGCAAATGGCCAAAGTTATATTGTATGTTATTTAGTTATCCAGACAAAACTGGTACCAACAGCAACAGGTTACCCATTTCCCTGCAATTACGCATATTCTTGAGTTTATCCATTTCCCTATAGCATTTTTCCAAGTTATCTACTTACCTAATCCCTCTTCCACCTACTACTGCATTTCTACTACCGTAAATTTAATCCAATAAAGCAAACAAAAAATCATTAATCTACATAATATTTTAAATAATTATCGGTAACTAAAAAAAAGTGTTGCTATTTTAAGAAATGCTGTAAGTTACAGAATAATAATTATGACAGGTGTGTAATGATTTCCCCTAAGGTCACTCAAGTTCACGCGGAGTGTAACAAAAAAAGATGTCTATTACGTCATCAGAATATTTGACAGGGTGATTAACCAATCAGGGTAACATTGTGCATGACTTTTTTTCATGATCAAAAGGTCTGTCTGTGTATGCTTTCTACACAGAGGCATACAAGGAGCAATAAAAGTCGTCAGTATGTATACAGTGTAAGAGGGACATTTTGTGCAAATTACGAACAATTAAAATGGATAATGCACAGTATTAGACATAAGTAGTAAGAAAATATAAATTATTCAAATTAGATTTTTGAGCAGCCAATAAAAATTGTTTTGCCTGCAATTAATATTAGTACCAAAAATAACTTTTTTATGCACTTTAATTACTTAATCGCTTGTTATAAAAACATGCAAATCATGTCAAGGATCTGCTATTAAAAAGACGCTTTTATTTTGCTACATGACTCATTGATTTTGCTACAGGACTCATTGTTTTCAAACATGTGCGTCATCCGACGCATTGTAAGGAATTTCTAGATTAATCACTGCATTCATAATAAGATTTTTATTTGTCCATCCTTGGCTTATCAACAGATTATATATAGTTTTATCAAGGTATGCTTCACTTTACTTCATGGCATGTTCGATGAATGAATACGAGCGTGTCAGATTCCTGGCACTATTATTGGACTGGACTTTCCCTAAGGGGTTATCTTCAATGTTCAAGTCATGTCATAGTATATAAACGGGTACGCAAGGGACCTTAAGCTAGATATATCAATACAAAAATTTCCATCAATGACAGCTCTAGAAAGTAGGCAAAGCCTATGAACAGGGAAGTCCCCTAATAAATAAGTTGTATGAAATGGTTAATATGAAATTAGGCAAAACTGTCTGCAAGGGCTCATTTAAAAGACATTTATTTGTAATAAAACTATTACCAAAATGCAAAGTGTGTTGTTTCCCACTTTTTTATTTGATATAATGTACAATAATATGAAAAAGGCAAAGCCTCAAAGCGAGCTTGATGTACTTTTAACGTGAAATAGTATGAAATAATCGCTCATTTTTATTTCAAATGCAGTGACGAGTGCGTGTGACGTCACACGTACTGTGTTAAATATGGCTCCGCCCCTGTCGTTAAATGAATAACGAGTTTTGAAAACGTTGATAAAACTTTGTTTATTTTATTTCACTCTATAATTTTTCAAGCGAAATAAAGGTTATTAAAAGTGAAATAAATGTAAAACTTAAAACGTTTGCGACATTAAAATCGCGTACTTGATTTGATTGTTTTGCACGTGCTGTTTGGCGCTACATTGTGACGTCACGTAAACAATACTTTAAACGTCTATACAGCGTTAACGACTGAATAAAACATTTTGGTGTTCGGATTCATTTCTTAGTTAGACCATTTTCCTTCATTCTAGATAGTTTTCACAACAAAATTCGACAAAAAAAATGTTTTTATTTATCAGATTTTTTCAAACAAAATGGCGCCTTCAATTTTCATTTTACATTTTCCGTTTTAAAACTGTCATTCGATATTTTATACACAGCTTCCGTTATTCTGGTTCCCTGTCCAATTATGGTTCCCATAGATGTGCGCGGGTGACCAATCTACACATCCGATTTCAGTCAGAATTCCTCAGTTTTTATTGTGTCGCCTCATGGTGCAATTTCATCCAAACTTTACAGGAATGATCAGTACGAAGTCTAGTTGTGCATATTGTCAGCATTTTCAGGTTCAATGATTTTTGTCAGAGTTATGGCCCTTTAATAATTTTTAATTTTAAAGTTTGTCCGGACTACTTCTCTTATACCACTAATGCAATTTCAATGAAACTTTTCAGGATTGATCTGTAGCTCAAGTCCTTGCGCATATTGCACGGGTTTTCCGGTTGAATGATTTTTGAAAAATATATTGAAAAATTGTTTGAAATCCAGTTTTATCATATATGGAAAAATTGTTTGAAATCCAGTTTTATCATTGGCATCTTTGGATATTTTGACTGTATTTTTTTTATTAGTTGAACTTGTTTAGAATACTTGAACCAATCAGTCAATATTTATAACGTATAAATTTATCAAACATGCTCGGGGAAAGTACTTTCGCAAATAGTGCAGGGTCTGATCATACTGATTTCAGGCCTGTTTTAAAAATGATAGGACAGTAAACCAAAATAACCTTTAATAAAGAACAGGCAAATTAACATATTAATTACCCTTATTTGCTGAACTTCTGGCTAAAGTTTTCAAAATCATCACTTTTGAAAATACTTGTGTTACTGTAATGCTGGCTTTGGGGCCTGCTCTTTGAGCTCGCTATAAGTACTATAATGAAATAATGTTGACAATATGTCCTGATGGAAAATAGGCCAAGTTCTGAATGATTTTAGGTCATTGCGGCCTAAAGATGTTTTGGCCCTAAAGTACCTAAGATGTTTTGGCCCCACATGGATATCCATTCTGCTGTATGCCTGAGATATTCAACTTCAAGACATTATTAACTGGCCTTGTCTGTTATGTAATTATGCATCCGCGCAGTTTGATCAGGATCCATGCTGTTCGCTTACAGACCTCATAACAAGTAGAGAAACTGATACCAAACAGCATGGATCCTGATCAGACTGTGCGGATGCTCAGGCTGGTCTGGATCCATGCTGGTCGCAAACCCATTATGTTGGTTTTGTCATGGCGCGGCTCATATATATAGTAACAGTCCTATCAGAATAGAAATTTAGAATTTCATGAGTTTCTGTTAATGGTTGATACTGCACCTTAATCAGTGTAATATTTACTAATAGTAATACAAGCCATGTGTGAATAATTTGTCAGTTAACAATGTACAGATTAAAAAAGAAAATTCTAGGACCTAAAATGTGTCTTTTTGTGTCTGAAGGATGAAATTTAGGGAGTCAGACATTGTAACTTGTAAGCAAAGTACATGTAGTCATGATATGAAATCCTGGGTTTTTTTATAAATATAAACTTTACATGAACTTTTAACAGTAATAAATTTCAAATGTTTTATTAAACTTAAATATAAAGTGTAAAGATCTGAAATGTAGTCTATTATGTAGATATATATACAGTGTAGATTATTAAGATAGTTATTAATATGAAAACCGTTCTATTTTCAGGTTAATGAGATTTACCGGTAACCAGTGTTGGAGCTAGAATGCGTCATATTGTATGTTCCTTGCAGTGAATAAGATTTCGTACTAAATTTTCAATTTTGGAAGAACTGCTCATATGAAGATGGCAACATTAGATGCTCCAGCACCAGTGAATTTAGTCCGTTCCATTTTTCTTTGCAATTTGTTTAATTTCCTCTTGGCAGCAAGTAAAGCATGCCTCATACCATTTCTCACAATATATCTGAAGAGGTTGGGTCTTTCTGCAACACAGACTGGACTTGCAATTGGGACAAAGACTCTCGTAGGACTTGTTTTTGCACCACTATGGTCGAAATGTTCAGTACGATGTGGCAGGAGACGATGTGTGTTGATGTTTTCAATTCTCATTATGTCCACAACATACTTGTCGCTCACTGCAGTACCAAGCATGGATGATGAAGCATTTGCTCTCCAGTGTGCAAGTACAAAAAGTGAAACGATCAACGTGTCTCAGATCGCGGACAAAGTGGATAAACAGACAACGGCTAAACCTGCAATAACTTCTGTGACACTTTATCCAAATGCAAGTTTTGAAAAAACTGGTGCAAGTGTGGCAACACCTGTTGCTAATAATGTTAGTTTTGAAACTGTCACAAATCCTGTTTCTGGAGAAAGCAATGCTAGTGAGAAGGTTGGAAATACAGTAACAGAAGCAAAGGATATTGATACAACTGTTGCTAGTTTCAAAAGTACAACAGTTGAGCCAACAAATGCTGAAGAAACTTCTGATGATGATGAAAAAATTGAGCAACTGCTAAGAGAAATATTAGAAGCAGTTGGAGTGCGAGAACGAAAGTTACAGGAGCTTGATGAAAATGAAATGATGAAGCTTATAACTGATTTAATAAGCACTGATGCAGGACTGAAGCTCTTTAACAAAGCTATTAAGACATTGCCAGTAGAGGACCAAGAACTTCTGGGTGGATTGTCAACACGTAGAAAAAGAGCAGCTGATGATGACGAAGCTGCTAATACGGACAAAGAAACTGATGAAAGTACAGAAAGTTCTTTTCAGGCTTTCAAAGAAACCTTGGCCAAGAAATTCAGTGAAATTCGTGAGCACATAAGAGTAACAGAGAATGAGATGTTTGTTGTGGTACTTGTTATTCTCATGATTGGTGAATCACTGTGCTGTCCCATTGAAAAGATTGCAGATGACGGCTGGTTTGAATTCCTGGAAAGTATTGACGATATGGAAAAATACGGTATGCAGAGAATCTGGTCTACCTTTGCATACATTCTTGTACCTGTTATTGTAGCCCTCATTATCGACAACACTAACTGTCTATTTGGACTATCTGTTCACCCGTTCATGTTGCATTTTTATTTGTTCGCAGGTTTCCTCGGGTTAACTTTCCTAGTTGCATTTTTTTACCCGATGGTTACATCAGAAAAGTACAAATATGCTAGTAAAGTCATGAAAGGAGTTCGGGTTGTTTGCTGTAATATGAGAAATCTTATGTTTACAATTACTTTGTTGATAATGGGAATCATATACGCTAGTTACTACAACTTTTTGTTCTGGTTACTGTTTGATATGGGAAGCAAGGAGATCACATTTGGTGTCTGTATTATGATTGCCGCCCTATCTGAAATTCCAATGTTGCTGTTCAATGACAAGTTAATTAAAAAGATAGGGAGTGGAGGTGTTGTCACCCTCTCTCTCCTCATTTTGTCAGCCAGGTGTCTTTATTACTCATTCTTACCGACACCTTGGGCAGTTATACCCGCTGAGGTTACTCATGCGTTTACCCACACTGCAATGTGGTGGGCGGTGCTTAGCAGCCCCTCCTTCAATACTTCCCCAGCCTTAAGTAGAAGCATCAGGTCAATCTTGTCTTCCGTTTACTTTGGCCTAGGGTTTGCTTTCGGAAGCGTGATTTCTGGTGTTATTTATGATACTTACGGGCCAGCTGTCCTGTTCCAGGCTGGATCTGTTTTGTCTGTTGGTTGGTTCCCAATTTTGTGTTTGGGTGTAAGGTGTTGTAAGGAAAAAGACAGGAGCCATGTAAAGTATACACGTCTGCTGAATTCGGATGACGCAAGTGATGACTCTGATTCAGTGGAAGATGATTGGTTGGAGCATGCTCTTAAAGATCGGTAGATTACTGACTAATAGAGATAATTTAACAGAAAAATATGTGACGTAAAGACATGATTGTAGAAGATCTATGAGATGTTTTGAATATTTTTGTAAGTTATCTAATTTTGGTGAGAAAAATTTGCATTCCAGTTCGGGGACCACATATAAGCATTCAATTTTTGAGGTTGTGTTTAGTGTTTCTTTAATGATTTAGCAGTTTTAAATATATTCATATGTTATCTAATTTTGGTGATAAAAATTTGCATTCCATTTAGAGACAGCATTCAAGCATTTGTATTATTTTGGTTGTGTTTAATGATGGGGTTGATGTATAGATTTGTATATCGGTGTATACAAGTAAAAAACAATGATTTTTATGCATTAAGGTCTCTTGCTCACTGTTTGAAAAAAAATCTTTTTATTTGTTAAATGTTTAGAAAAGATATGTACATGTATAGCAGAATCTATATTTTTATCATTTTTTCAAAAGTTTTCGTTGACAATATCTATTTTGTTAGATCTAGTACTTTGTTGTTTGGTAATATTTTGTGATAACTTCAGAAATCATGTGTCAACTTCCCTGAAATAAAAAAAAAAACAAATAATTTTGAACAAAATGCTTCAATGATATACAATGGCTAAAGCAGAATTACCCTATGTGTTTCTTGAAAATGTATATATTTTTACATTCCCGGAGAAATAAGCAATTTAAATGTTAGTTTTGTCAAGCTTGTATCACATTATTTTTGTAATTTTTTTTTGGTAAAAAATATCAATGTTGTTTAAATTTTGACAGCATTGGCAATAAATGTAGTTAAATCAAATGATTTTTTTCTAAAACGAAAATTCCTCAAAACAAATACTTGCATTTTTGTGCACTTATTAACATGTAGAGGAAACTATTTAAACTTACTAATGATTGGAGTACCATAGTAATTCATGTTCATTTAATTGTAGAAATTTGATCAAAGTTACACTAATTAAATTGTCATTTTTAGACCTTTGCACAGTAGTAATTAAGTTTAATGTTGTTTTCTTTTTGTTTTGTTTTTTTACATTTTCAAGTTTTGACCATTCAGTAAAAATAATGTTTTAATGGAAGAGCAACAATATAGGCCTAAACCACTTTCTTACAACAAAAAATGACAAGAAATAATGGTGGCCACCTGTTACATACATTTGTCTTCCAGCTATTCAAAACTAAACTGTATTATTGATATGTCTTCCTCAAACATTATATGAGCCACGTCATGACAAAACCAACATAATGGGTTTGCGACCAGCATGGATCCAGACCAGCCTGCGCCTCCGCGCAGTCTGATCAGGATCCATGCTGTTCGCAATCAGTTTCTCTACTTGTAATAGGGTTTGTAAGCGAACAGCATGGATCCTGATCAGACTGCGTGGATGCTCAGGCTGGTCTGGATCCATGCTGGTCGCAAACGCATTATGTTAGTTTTGTCGTGACGCGGCTCATATGTTACTTCCATCATACATTTGTATTACAATATGATATCTTCTTGCCTCCTACATGTATTTCTATATGAACTTTTCTCAGAAAATATGTGGAACAAATGTGTAATTTATTGTATAATATCTTATCATGAAATCCAGACAAATTTACATTCCATATGTGATAATAATAGAAGAGATTATAATGTAGATTATTTCTGGTAGTTTTGATTATTTTTGCAGTGTATTTAACCCTTTTTACTGTGCAAACTTTTATCATGAAATAACGTTCTTTTTCTGGAAAAATTTCTAAGAATTACAGGAACTATGATCCTTAGTTCTATTTTTTTTTTACAGATCAATCCATTTTAATAAAATACGTACATTTTTATGGGAGAAAATGACAGAAGTAATGATAAAATGATTTTTGTTCTAATCTCAAGCCATATAGTAATAGTAACCATATAATACCATTATACCAAATAAGTGTTTTCATATTCCAAAAAACAGGCATACTTTACTTTCAGGCAAATATATGGTTACTACAATGTATATAAAATGTGTTCAGGGTATACCTAACTTGTAGCCAGTGAAAGGGTTACTTTGTTTATAGATATATGCTAATCTGTGTAATATTTATTTTACAATAATAGAATAATGCATGTTGTTAAAGTGGATTGGTCTACAATTGGGACATTTTCCATAAGACTTTCAAATATTGATAAAAAAAACAACAAAAAACAATCAAAATGTATCATTTGGAGTATAATTTTATTCTTGGAAAAAATTCTTGGAAAAAAATGTTGATAAGAGTTTTAAATGATATTAAGTATGAACAGTTATATATGATATAAATTTGTTTTAAAACAATTTATTATCTTCTGTATATGTAGATATATAAAATTGGATCATGTATTTCACACTTTCCAACAACATCCGTATTCCATTCTTTTGTGGTTTGATGTTGCAATACTAAATATTGCATGATTATTTATATTATTATCGACCTTCCATTATAGGCCAATTCACTTTAATGTTTTGAAAACCTACAGTAAACAAAGCCAGTTAACAAAATTGTATATTTGTAAACTCAGTCTGCCAGTTTTTACTTTCCTTAATTTGTGAAATGGACATGTCTTGCTTTGTTTTTGGGACGTTCCATTATAATTTTGAGGGATTTCAAAATGAATGTCATATGATAACATTGAGCTGTTGAGTGACATTGAGCTGCCAACAGTTTGAACTTTTAGAGCCAGAGTCAGAGTGTACAGCAGTACAGGCTGGCCTGGCTGTAAAATTAGTGGCTTAGACAACTCTGTGAATTATCACTGTCAATACACTTAAAGCTGCATACCTCCAGATGAGCTGAAATATTTCAAGAAAATTAAATTTGAGAAAAATGTGCTAAATTTTAAGAAAAGTAAAATGTTTAAAGATTCAACTATTGATTAACATGTTTTATGCGATTAAGGGCTGATTTTGTGGTATTTATAATCGTATTTCTACTGTGTTACTAACGCAGTCGGGGCCAATTTTGCTTATTTTGACCTCTTTTTAGTAATTTATGTAGATTGCAAGAGATGTTTGCAATGTCTAAATTATTTTTTTTGTTCACTTCACAATATTGTACTTTTAAATACATTTTTAAATTTTTCATGAAAATTAGCATCAATCAGGAGGTGTGCTGCTTTAGTGTTAATTAACTAGTATATAAACATTTGTTATGCCATATTATTGTGTTAATTTTAAACTCAACCTTTTTGCTCTGTATTAATGAAGCATAATTACTCTGTTGCCAAAAAACAAGAAAAAAAGAATCTCTGTTTAATACATTTGTGGTTTATAATATATGATTGTATTTTGATACCCTGAATAGATGACGGTGTAAGTGATTGTGTGTGATTCTCATTTGATATAAAAGCTTTCTCAATTTTTGAGGTGCTTGAGCAATATTTAATACTAACTACATTGTATATTTGCATTATTGATAGAAATAATTGTAAAATTTTGTGAAAAGATATTGTAGAATTTGAATCGAATAGTTTTGAAAGAAGTTATTTTCTGACAGTTTTTATTTCACTTGTAGTTGCTGGTATTGTATGCCTCTTTAGTATTTTCTTTTATCAAATTTGAACTTGTAGAGAAGTCTGTTTAAACTTACAACAGTCATTCAAACTTATTAGATTATTAGGGAATGGTTCAGCAAAGGTTTGTTGTGCAAAAATATTACGGCTTCAAAAATAAAAGACACACCCTCCCACCACAAAAAAAAGCAAATAAAACATTATAGGATGCTTTTTGATTTATGTTTTATACACTTTTATTTGAAATATAAAAACCATATCACTGGAAAAGAATGTTTTCTTGACACTTTGTTGCAATGTTTACTATATAGATGATACCTACTTTACAAAATTACATTGGACAGTAAATAAAAGATATTTTTACTAACAGGTGAAGCTTGTTGTTTGGGAAAAAATCTCTCTCTGTGTCAGAGTTTACTGTCCATTTTCCTTGTGTAGTTATCTCTCAAAGTAATTAATTTGACATTCATTATGAAAACGTAAAAAACAACAAAAAACAAAACAAATATTTTAGGATGGAAACTGGATTTTTTTTTTTTCATAAAAAATGATATTATGTAGTAAAGTATTGTCTTTTCGGGAAAAAAGTACATATGTGTGCTTTCATTAGTGCCTTAGATATTGTTGATGTCTCTTTTTTTATAACTTTATAATTTTTGGTTTTGTATGACTGTATTTTACAACTATGTGCCTTTTATTGTTTTGTTTACCGTTAAGCATTTTTCCCTAATATTCATTATTTGTTAGTGTGTTAAGATTTGTTAGTTTTGAATGAATGCAATGAATGATTTACATTGATGTATACTTGTTGTACTATGTTTAGTGGATGAACAACAAACTTGTGTATTTCTTAGCTTTAACCTTGAAATGTAGTTTTTATATGTACACATTTCATGTCCTGTATTGAAAGGATACAAAGCTTTATTAGGCTATTGAATGACAGTGTGTCCTGTTGTGTCTCATAAAATCATAGCAAAGTAACGAAATAATGAGGTTTGTAAATCTGCAATAAAATAGGTAGTGTATACACTATATAATTACAAATTTGACAAAATTTACTGTATAAAGCAGCTTAATATCTTGCAAGGAACAATGTTACTCTGTTTTCTTACATAATTTCATGTGTAGTTAAATAACAGAGAAACTTCTCATATATGACCATATAAATATGAAAATAATGTGATTGTATAAATATTAAACTTTTTATAGTATATTTCACCATATCATGTTTAACATCCTTTTAAAGGCCCATTATGCCTGAATGTTTATCATGTTTGGTGCTGCAGATTCTGAAACGGTTCTGAGACCTTGTCCATCATAGCTTATCAATTTCTGCGTTTTGGCTTTAAGTGAAGTTACCGTAATTCAGTATTTTTATAGAATACAAATACATTGTACAATTTTATATAAAGAAATATTATTTATTCCACATTCAGCATTATTTTCTTCAAGTAATAAGCATCTGACCTGATTGAAATCAATTATTTAAAGCATTATATAACAAAGGTTTGCCTTTTCCTCAGGGGAAACATATTCATTTCTGAGGATGAATGTGCCTTTAACACTCATTATTACGCATGAATTGAACGTGGTCTCGTCATATTTTTGTACCAGCATTTAGGATTATCACCATGTGTTCACCATTTAATCCGCTCTTCTCCTTTAATTGGTTACACATTTATTTAAATAACTTATTTCTTTTACAGATTTTTTTAAACAAAATAGTTTTCTGTTTCTTTTTAACAAAAGGATGTTTACCAAAAATACAAAATAGTTGACTTTTTCCAACAACGAAAAAGTTGCAACCAATAATTGTTTTTTCTCATCATGAAAAAGTTGGCTGTGCTCTATACCAAATATTGGAATTCATAAAGAGTCATATTTTTGTTGTTGTATGTTCAATGTAAGTCTTTTCTTTGTTATAAATATTGCATCACATTGAATTCCTACAACTTATCACATTGAATTCCTTAACTTATTACATTGAATTCCTTCAACTTATCACATTGAATTCCTCCAACTAATCACATTGAATTCCTTCAACTTATCACATTGATTTTTAATTTTTTATGCTTTTTGATCAGCCATAATAATTTTGTGTATGTGGATAGAATGGTTTATTTATTGTTTTCTTTACCTGCAATATAATAATGGCAATACCAGTGTGCAAAGGGGCATGCCTCTAAATTATTATGCATAAACTATTACGGTATATGCATTAATTTAACTCCATGCTTTTAGATAATTGGGTGATGTTAAGCTATTGGCCATCAGGAAGAATTCAAAGGAGAACGTCGCGTGGCCATGACCCTGTTCCCCCTCTATTAAAACATCATCCAAACATCATAAGTATTGACAAAAATAAATTTTATGAAAAAAAAATTTTAGAGTCAAAAATTTTTTTTTCATAAAATTTATTTTTGACAATTTTTATGATGTTTGGATGATGTTTTAAGGGTTTTGGGTCGTAGAGGGGGAACAGGGGGTATAGTGTAAGTCATGGCCACGCGACGTTCACCTGTGGAAGAATTAACACTTTTGGTCATCAGTAAGTTTTTGTTGAAGAGAAAAAATTCCCATGAAAAATATTGTATTGTTTAAAGGTAAATTTCTTGTGCAAGATAAAGTTTCAGTTTATGTGTACACTGTGTATATGATTAGTTTTGCATATTTATAGGCTTTTTTAATATATAAAAGTAATGCATTTCTTTCTTTAATTCAATTTTGTTATATTATTTACTTTTTTGTTGATATTAAGATTTTTGTTTATTTTGATTTTTGTTTACTTCTTTATTACAGCTTTATATATCTGTTATAGTTTCTCATGAAATCCATTTATATATTTTATACAGAAGAGTTGTTCAAGAGGTCTTTGGTTGTTATATATATATATATAAATGTTCTACGCTACAAATTTTATAGTTTCTGATCACTTTTGATCAACTGGTGTTGGTTACAATAAAATAGAAAACTTTTCACCGTGTTGTGTTTTTGCTTTTATCCTTCCCGAGATGCTGTACACAAATATCTGAAGTGTAAATGGCATTGTGTATTTTTTAGTTTATTTATACATACTCGCCACCGGTTGCCAATATGATTTTGGAGAATAGTGCAACATACAGATGCAGAAAGATGACCAATTCCAGAAGTTTCTCCTGGTCCTTTAGCGTGCCAAGTGTTTAAGCACTCATATATGGTACCTCAATTTGAAGTCTTGTCCGATTTGAAGTCTTGTCCGAAAGAATGATTATAAAGT